TATTAGTGTAATGTATTACAGTACTAAAATTTGAGTTTTTGGACATAGAATGATGGCAGTACTGTTGCTGAGTCACTTGTATTGTAGAGAGAAGGGGTTTTGAAAGTATGTTAAAGATGTTTACTTGTTCTCTATCTATTCCAACTTGATTTTGGATGTGGAATTTCGCTGATTTGTACATTGGACACCTTTATGCTACAGGAATAAGAAAAATATAACAAAATATTAATATTTTATCGAGTCCACATATCCAATTTAAGTATTTGAATGAAGATTAAAAATGTTGGTATTTTGTAGAGTTAATTTAATTAACCAAAGTTCAGATATTTCACAAATATAATGTCTGGAAATTTTCCCTCTCTCAATACCGAACCTGAGTCCAACTAGCATATGTTTTTTATGAAATTCCTTGTTGATTATAATGATCCGATGCTGGTATATGGGAAGTTGAAAGCTGTATGCAATCATCACACATTTAAATACTTGACCAATAAGCTGCCACTTTGATTATTGTAACCCCACATTTCTTTATATTTTTATTGTATCACATATTTCCAATTTCATAGCCAAAGATGTTGGTTGATTTCCTGATCATCATTTTTTTTTTTGGGCAGTGTTTCAGGGGGACTTGACAATGAGAATAGCAATGACTCATCTCAGGTAGCTATTGTAGTTATAATTTTTCTCCAACCACCTATTCTTAATTTCTTACTTTCTTATTCTGATTGTTCTTTTGCCATTTTACTGAGCTTTTGTTAAAATTATTTACAGATGAATGAACCAACGCTCCTAGATTGTCCATCCTTCGGGACTGAGATTACAGTGGAGTGTCCTGCAGGAGTTACTGATCATGAGCAAGTTGAGGACAATAAAAGAAATGACATTATCAAATGCTACAAGCGAAGGAGAATATCAGCCTGCTGAAGATTGCTCCTCGAAGAAATTTGCTAGTTATCAAACAGATACTTTATTTAGGATGAGGGAATCGAGATATTTTGGAGCTATAGGTAATCGCGCTGTAGATAGGTTTTAAGGTTGCCTCTTGAAATCTATTTTAGTCCTAAAGGACTTGTATATAGTGGGAGGGAGCTGGTGGCTTGTGTTTGTTTATGCTGGTTTTGGATTTCTTTCTGTGTGCACATATTAGTGTGAAGTATGTGACACAGATTTATTTATGTGTTCAATAACTGAAACAGGAGCTTGATGCTAATAATATGTTTGTGGGTGCATAAGTTTAACAAGTTCTGCTGTTTTTTGAGCATGTCTGTGCTTGGTATGTGTCCTTTGCTCCTGCTTTATTCAGTGTTAATTGTTCCCGGTGGGAAATGAGGATAAGAATCAATATAGGATTTAGATAGGATTTAAAATTAGAATTGGATTTAGATTATGTTTGTTTTGTTTATGGATTTGTTTCATATTCTGACAAGGTTTTAGTTTATTAGAAGTTCGTTTGAGTTTAAATTCTTTTATTTAAAAGCAAACTTTGATTATGAAATAAATTAATATTTTCGTCCCCAATTTCTTCTATGTTCTCTTTCCTCTTCTTCTTTTTCCTTTATCTTTCTTTCTTGATCTCATTTTTGTTTGATATTTGTTCCATATCATTTGGTATCAAAGCACAAGTCGTTTCTTTTGGACAAACAAGTTTTGAAAAAAATAAAAAAATTCTGATCTCCACCCTCCACAACAGTTTCTATTCTCCCGTGCAACACCAAAAATCTTCACAACAGACCAGATTCAAACACAAGAAGAGAAAAAGGCAGCAACAATCACGGGAAACAAATTTGCCCAAAAATGAAATTCCTCAAATTGCAAGTTCCCTCCTGCTGTCATACAAGTCCACTCAATGTTTGGAGCTAGACCATAATACTTTCATTGCCTTGATTAATTGAGACCATATATCTCTTTGATAAAATATAGATGAACGCGAGCCATTTATAAAAGACAAAAACTCCTATAATTCGATTAGGAGATAAAGCTAACGTGCATTTTCATTACAACTCGTAAGTTACGAAATTCAATTCATTGATTGTGAGGATATTTGAAATTTGATTTGTGTTGGGTGAAAGCCCAAGAACAACTAACCAGGGGGGGGGGGGTGAATTAGTGATTTGAAACTTTTTAAAAAATAAACGCAAATTTAAGCAAATAACTATGAATAGACAAGACAACACAAAAGTAATAAGAGGAAGGGAAAAGAAAGGGCAAACGATGTAATAAGGAGGTTTGATCCAATCACGATCTATGTCTCTCGTTATCAAACTCTTCGTCACTAGCAAGGTCTTTTTCATTATTTTTGATTGACTTATGGTGCAATCCAACCCTTACAACGCTTCTGATGACTTACAATTAAGGAGTACTGATCCTTTTACACGTTGAGCTTTCCGGGACCTCAACACGACCCACAATTTGATGAACAAGAAAATTAAAGTTACAATTGAAAAGTTTATCTCTTAACAAATGGTATGAGCACAACTAAATATTAAGAGAGAATTAGGCACAACACTTCAATAAATCACAAAGAATATAACTCAAGTGTTGTGTAAAAAACTTTTGTTGAGATATATGATTTTTCAAAAAGTTACTCACTCAAAAAGTTTTTCAACAAATAAATATTTTGATCTCTTAAAAATTGGAAAACAAAGTAGATAAAATCAATAAATAACTCTCTTTAATATTCTAGAATTCTTACTTTAAAAGAGGTATAAAGAGAGGTATTTACATCCATCAATCAGGAGATCCGGACAAGTGATTGGACGTTCACTTGGTATTTGGACGGTTAACTAGTTGTTTGCCAAACGGTAAAAAATTCAACCGTTGAACACAACGTCCGGATGGGCCAATTATTTTGCCCATTGAATTTTTCTTTTTAGTGAAAAATGTTCTTTTAAGGTACTTGTAGGGTTTTCTAATGTACTTCGTATAGATAAGTTATTTCATAAAAATTTAATTGTGAAAAATTAAATTACTTATATTTTAAAAATAATTTTTATCCAAGTAAAGTTTGTCATGATAATTCTTATGCAAAAAATTATTTGAGCTATAATTGATGCAAAATATTAAAGTGTTTTACCTTTACATTTGAGTATATAAATGCATCTATAGCTAATGCCTTCAATTTCTTCATCCAATGCGATTTTGTACGTGAAGGCTCGATTTCCATTTTCTCGTTCGTAAATCTTCAATCTACTTGTATTTGTCGTTTTGTGCCAATGTTGCATGATTCTCGATCTAGATTTTTTGTGTCATAAATTTGCAATAATCACTATCAATTACTTAAATTCAATTTGTTAGAATTAAACATAATTTGTTTGCAATAATCAAAACAAGAAGTCAACCATTAGGTCAACATTGAGTCATCTAAGAGCTAGGCTTGTTGAACATATTAGCCTAACTCGAATCCATCATCGAGCACATTTGCGTTGAACGATGTCTTAACAGGCACTAGCCTCAATTCCTCAAGTTTAATAGTAGTTCCCCTACTACTAGAAAATCCTTGCAAGCCACCCAATGATTACTAGTTCTTGCTTGATCATATCTCTTGTCTCTTTCATTCACCTCGACCCACAACTTCCATGGATCGATTAGAGTGAGTTGAAAAAAGCTCGGCGTGTGAGTAGGTGGTGGGGTTGTTCATAGTTGAAACCAAACAACATATGCAAATGGCTTGATGTTGTGGGTATTCTCGGACACGTGAAACTGGGTCACTACACAAATGAAGCTTTTCAGAGTCCACCACCCACTTTGATTGAAGAGTTTCTTCAATCTCGATTATTTAAGCTTTAGCTTTCAGCAAAAACTTGTGCGCTTGTCTCCCATTTCGAAATTGGTCCCTTATCTCATTTCAACTTTTTCAGAAGAATTATGAATTGGAATTCACAACACAAATTGCACATTCTGTCATCCCAAATCCTAAACAAGAATGCTGTTTGTACATAAATTTTTCTCACAGAATTTCTCTAGACACTCACATGGATGAATCCCATGGTGTAATAAAAAATGCCAAAAAAATCATCCACTCCCCATTGTGAGTGTTCTGTGACATTTCTGTGAACAATGCTGTCTGTACACACGACATTATTGAATCCTAAAACCATAAATGAGCAAACAATATGCAAATTACTTATCTTGAATAATGTTATTTATCTTTATTAAAGATGATCATCGATTTATGTGACAAGATATATTACTTATTATATCAATTTATATTTCAATAAATTTACTTGCTAGTAGAGTCTATTGGCTTTTTAGGAAAATAACGATTTATTTATGATATTATTATTTTTATGTTAAATTTTATGGTTTGACTTGTATTAATTTATTAGTTCAAACTTGTTCTGAGACAGATACATTATTGTAAGTTGTAACATTTATTTTTAGAATGTTTTGATTTAAATTTTATAGTAAAAATTTAGATTAATAAATTTATTTTTGCATCTTTAAATATAGTGGTCTGAGACTCTGAAATCAATTTTTGGTTTGAAATTTTACCAAACCGTGTAAAGTAATATTGTTTAAAACATTATAATTTGTTTTATATATATATATATATATATATATATATATATATAAAAGTTAAACGTTTCTTTCTCTCTCCTTTAGGCCAAAAAAACACAGCCAACCACCCTTTCCCTTGCAACGGCCTAAAACCAACCAAAGTCTATTGCTTTCCATTCTTTTCTCTTTTCTTCAATTCGGAAAGAGAGAAAAAAAGAGACCCATTCAGCTCCACCCAAACCCATTCTTCCTCTCCTTCTACCTCACCGTTTTCTTAAACAAATTCAAGATTCACACGCACCATTTTCATAGTTTTTGTAATTTTTATGTTCTGGTATTGTGTTAATTGATTGAATCTCAGAACCCATGTGGCTTAGGCGAAGCAAATCAAGGATTCGACTGCACAACGCATCGTCCCCCAAATTCGCTTGCTCTTCCTTCAAAGATTTACGGCTTCTACTCTCCGAAGAAGACAGCAATTGCAGCAACAATAAAATCAGCACCGGTGACGGTGACATTGCTCTTGATTCATCTACCCCATACATCAGGAAGCCCTCAATTTGCCATAGGGTTCGCAGCGCCAATTTCCTCCTCCGGACCCTATCTTTACAGTCAGACCATCAGGAATCCAAACCTTACCGGGAGGAGGTTCAGGTCCCGGTTCCGGTTCCGTCCCCATTATCAGAAAATGTAGCTGCAGATGTGAAATCGGAGTCAGTGATTAGGATCCCGAGGGCAGATAATACTATAGTGGTGTACTTTACAAGCCTGCGGGTTGTTCGCCACACATATGAGGACTGCAAGACCGTCCTAATGATCCTTGGTGCCTTCCATGTGTTTGTTGACGAAAGGGATGTTTCTATGGACTCGGTTTACATTGATGAGCTGCAGAGGATGTTTGGTGAATCTGACAAGTCCAAATTAACCCTCCCTCGAGTCTTCATCGGCGGCCGGTACATTGGGGGTGCTGAGGAGGTGCGGCAACTCCACGAGAGCGGCGAGCTCAAAAAGTACCTGCAGGGTCTTCTGCCGGCGGACGCATGTGTGTGTGAGGCCTGTGGTGGGTACAGATTCATCCTTTGCCAAGATTGCTATGGAAGCCACAAGTATTACAGCGATAAATATGGCTTTAAGAGTTGTACTTCGTGCAATGAGAATGGTCTCGTCAGGTGCCCTTCTTGTTCTTGTGCATCTTTCTGAATCATTGTTGAATTACGACACTATATAATTATTAGTTAGGTTTAAAATTATGTAACATTGATTGGAAGAAATGGTTTTGGAGATGTTTAGTAGTTTTTCATATGTTCTTGCTGATTTTACTTGCTAGAAAATGAGAGGCAAGCCAAGTTAGGTCCAAATGATCCATTTGGAATGCTAATGTTCATTTGTTAACATTGTTTCACAATTTAGTTGTGTGTTGGAAACTCAAGCTTGGAATATGAGACGGGTTAGAGGGGTGAGGAATCATAAATTGCTTTGTTATTGTGGCTCAAATGAGCCCTCAAAAGCTTGGTGCAAATAAACGAATTGTTCTCCATGTTTATTCTTGTCTAGTTGAAAAGGTGAAACTTTGACGAAATTTTGGTATAATATGATGATTTTTATTTTTTTTTCGATTTTTGATTCAGATCATTGTTTTGTTGCCCAATAAAGTTTGGGTCGATGACATGAATCATAAGATACTAAGATACTTAACGCTTGTACAATGTCTAACCAACCGTAAGTCGACCGTGCGATAAATATATCAAATAGTTAATGAACAATAACTTATGCCTAAAATGCTGGCTTCAGCCACTAAAACTTCGTTGGATATCTCTTTCTGCGTATTTTGTTTTTCCATTTATCCTTAGTTTTATTTCTCTTCAAATGTATTTTCATTACTGGATATAGATGTGCCAAATTATATTGCATTATTTTCGTGTTATTGGAATTTATAAGAGAGTACTTTTGATATCTATAACTGTTGAAAAAGAGCTTTTTTCCTTTCTGGGCGATGAGAATAAAAATAGGAACTTTTTCTT